CTCTCTATCCAAACATCTCTGGAAGTGATCAGCCGAATCTTCGTGAATGTTTTTTTAAGAGCTCAACCAAGACTCTCAAATATTTTTTCAAATTTTTTGCAGCCGAGTTTTGTAGTAATTTGTCTCTGTTTTGCTATCTAAACATTTTAGTGAAAAAAAGTCTCTCATCTTGCTCTCTGTATGAACATTTTTGTAAAGAAGTTAACCAAATTTTATTGAAATGTCTCTCTCTTTTTGTTATCTAGACATTTTGGTAAGGAGTCATTAATCTTTTTATCTTTTTGTGTTTCCATTAGCATGGCACACAGTACTTCACGTATGAAGATGAGCATAGGTTATACTTCCCCATAAAGGGAAAGGGGTCCATGCTTGGAATTTCCTGAGCTGTCATCCTGCTCCTCCCTGTTCCTGATCTATCCAGTACCCCAGTCAGAGATGGAGATATCTGAGCGCATCCCAGCTAAAAATAGTTCAGGAGCTGTTCAGTCCCTCTCAGCCTCACAAGAGTCTTGTTTGTGATGCCAATTCATTGTTGTAAGCCATTGGTAGGAGTGTGATGTTTGTTGTAAATTCTTACTGGTCTAAACGAAGCCACCAGACCGCATGCAGGGGAGCTCTTGTGCTTTATTGTGCAGTTGTTATAACTCTGGCACCCCCACTGTTAGACTCCAAAGGTGTTGACTACAAACCCCTTCATTTTGTACAGTAGGGGGAAAAATTTAACAGCTGTGCCTTGCCCAGGCAAAGCAAGCAATGAGAGAAATTAAGGTGGAAAAGAGAGGGAGAATGAAGAAGTTCACCATCTGTAGATTCCTGCAGTCAGTTCTGCTGCATGGATGGTCCAGAGCTGGGATAGCAAAATAAAGAAAGGGAAAGATGCAGAAAAAGTCATGAAGGGGGCCCAGTGCACTTTCTTTTATATTTAACCTGGTGCAGCCTCTTATGTAAACTAGACTTTTCATGCTGTTTTGTTTGCACATCCACAGGCAACCTTTTGAGCCTTTCTCTGAGAAATCAGTTGGGAGGGACTGAGGAGGAGCAGGAAGCTGGCTCAGAACACTGCTACTCCATCTCCATGGGACCCTTTGTTTTGCTCACACTTTACCTGTCAAACAGTCAGAATATTTGAGACAAAATGTGCTTATGCTTAGTCCTCCATGGAACTGCTTCTGGAAATACATCAATTTTTCTTTCTTTGGGTGAAAGATAGGAAGTTACAAAGTTGTCATCACTGCCTTTTAAACTGTATTCTTTAATTGACCGATTCACTAGTCCACTCATATGATTTGAATTGCTAAAATTCAAATCTATTATAAATGAGGGTTATGTGTGGAAAGCAAGTTGCACTCAGTTTCAGGCTTCTAATGTTTTTTCTCTCTGTCTTTTGTTTTTAAGGAATAACTGTGGTCTATCTGGAAAGAGTCACACCTTTTCAGTATCGCTCTAGGATATGTAGTAAATCCAAATCTAGTGCAAGTCTGTTTAATAGACTGGACTTTTCCTGTAACAAGAGCCTACTCTTTAAGAATTTATTTTTTTTTTCCTGAAAATGGCTTTTGTTTGCCATTGCTTACAAATGTGTAAAGCAGACACAGAACATAAACTGAGATGAGTTCTCACTGAATTACTAAAACATGAAAAGTAGGTAATAGCTGTATGTTTATATTGTGCTTTGGCTTATTAGATGTCTTGAACATTTCTGACCTTACAGTTCAAGTAAACTGCTTTTTCAAAGCCCCTTTAACAGGAAGTAACTTGAAAATTGAATAGTATTTTATTCCCTGTATTCGGGAAGAAAATAATTGTAGGAAGAATTCATAACGAACTTGAAACAGATTTCACATTTCAGGTGTCTTTATTGTTGTGTTTGAATATATAAACATTCCACAGAAGAAAAAATTGGGGTAAAAATCTCTCTGATTAACTAAGGAGCAGTTGTTTCTGTCGCTCAGGTAACAGCGGCTCAGTAAGCTGCACCTTAGTTCTTTGATGACAGCAATAACCCGTGTTCCTCATGTAGAGGGAAATGGTCTTTTGCAGGGAAAAGAATTTGTCTGTTTTAATAGTGAAGCTTTGAAATAATTAGATGTGAATGTAAAAGCAATGTAGGGAGGGTTGTATACAGAACTTTGCAAATCCTGGAACAATTTTTTCAGGATACTTTGGTGAAGACCTGGGCTTATTTAAGCAAAGAAAATACACTAGTTTCTTTTGGTAAGATGAGAAGTTGGCTTCAAGCCACTCTGGGTTTAACAGGATGTTTGAACAGTTATGCGTTACTCAGGCTTATTTTTAGATGGTGAAATGTACCACAATACTAGTGAAACCAAAGAACTATGGTTTACCATTTCTTTTTTTATTACTGAATTTTCCTTTTAGACTTGTACATACATAGTGCATTCTTCACTCTTGCCTTATGGAGAAAGATTACATTTAACATTATTTTGTCTTGATTTATCTTTTTCTGTCCTTTCTCATTTATATGTAGTTATTATGTACTGTGGAGTGGGATGTGCAGAAATAAAGTAATTGTATCCGAAGAGGTTATTGTGCTTGCCCTTTTACAAGTTTTGATGAACAAGATGATGTGTTCCCTTTGCATGTTTGGAATGACAGAAAGCTATCTAAGCCATTTTACAAAAATAGGGCAATTCCTAAAGGCTGTAGTTCAATAAATGAACTACAAGTGCCCATTACCTTATTTTTTTCCAATTTTTCTGGAGGGTATAAAAGTGTTTAATTGTCTCTCTGCTGAACAAAGGTTTAGCTTCAGTCTTTGGCTCTGTGTTTGACTGTTTAAGGACATTGCTTTCTGGAGATTTGTCAGGACTATTTTCTGCTGATAGCTGGGACAAGTAGCATTCATAAGAGGGATGTGTGTGTCAGAAATTGGAAGCTATTTCTTTTACCTAGAATTTTTTTTAATCTCCTGTAAATTTAATACATACAAGCTGTTTTTCATCCTTTTAATGGGACCATGTTGCAGCCATGAGGGGTTGTTACTGTACCACCAGTTGAGACAAAACTGTATAATTGAACAAAATTAAACTTCCAGTAAGCCAGGATTTTGTGTTACTATAAGAAGCAGACATGCCGAGTTTTGTGGACTAAAATATTTTCTTCTTAGCTGGCAGAATCCTAAGTTTTAATTAGGCATTATGTGTGTGTGTATTTTGTAACTAACAGACTTGTATATTACAAGCAACCTAATTGCTAAACTTATGTTGTTTCCTAAAAGGTTAAAATATTTCAAATGCTTTATAGTGGGTTTCCTCATACCTCTGAAAGCTGAGTCCTAAAGGTTGATAGTTGTGCTGATTTGCTTTGACTCATGTTTACACTGAAGTTTTTTTAGCGAATATCTCTCTTCAATACTTTACCTTAAATGTCATGTGTCCTTCTCATATACTGTAACTAGGCCTTCGGTAGCCCAGTTAGTTTTGCTTAGTAATTAATTTTTTGAATAATAAACACTTGCTTATTTTAGGAAATTCTTGCTCACTTCTCACTTCTTTGCAAAAAATACAGTGTTCAGTTATGCTGGTTGCTCTGGAGTGTAAAAAAGATACAGTAAATTCTATTTGTTTTTTGCAGAAACTGTTACATTAGTCCTTCTTTACTTGTAGGCATTCACCTTTGGCATCCTGGCAAGATTGAATGCGTAAATGTACACTGTCAGGGATTTCGGCAGCAATAGGAAACAACAAAGTCTTGGAGCGACATGGGTTGAGGAGGAAGACTGAATTTCTCATTCTTGCACATTGGCTCATAGTTTTTATGCTGTGAATGTGACACTGAGAAACAACACAAGTTTATAAACTCGTAGCTTTAAGATGATGGTGTGAGGAAAAAAATGAGCACTTTGCCCAAGCTTTTCCTGAAAACTGATGTTGAGCAGTATCAGTTATTGCTGATAACCATATTAAGAGTTACTATGTGCTGCAGCTCTAGTAGTTACAGAATTAGTTTCCTAATTGTCACTGATGCAGTGGGAGATCACAGAATCAATTAGTCTGGAATAGACCTCAGAGAGCATTGAGTACAGCCTGTGACTGAAGACCACCACGTCAGAATGTCACTCAGTGCTGTGGCCAGTCTTTCCTTAAATACCTCCAAGGATGGTGACAGTCCATGCTAATGTCTAAGCACCCTTTCTGTGAAGAAATTCCTCCTAATGTCCAACCTAAACATTGCCTGGTGGAGCTTAATTTTAAGATCATGTTACATATCATAAGAAACAAGGCATATCTTCTAAAAGATGCCCAAGGAAATTAGTTCAAGAATCTTGTGCTAAAGAACCTTTTCTTTGCAAAGGGAGATAATAAAAAAGTTCGGGTTTCCATTTAGGCTGCATGTGTATTCTTTTGCTTAATCTCATGTCACTTCACTTAGTTCTGTGAGACACTGACACATGGGCATGTTGAACTCCGAAATGAGATTTCATTAATGTGCGTAAACCACAGACTTATTTTGGGGCCTTTTTTTTTTTTTTTGCTTGTTCTGGATTTATAGTTTGGAATGGCGATACTTGATTTCTGCTAAGCTGTTACTGTTGGAAGGATTTGGTACTTTTTATTAAGATCATAGGATAAGACTTCTTGTAAAGATACATCTCTCAAGTATTAGGTATTTGGAGTTTTTTTTTTTTTTTTTCAATCTGTTAAGCTGTATATTAATGCCTCTTCCTGAGAAATGTAGGACATACCATCCGCATGCTTTGGAAAAACATTCTGATTTTTAGCTATTCCATCGTGTGTCTGTTATTTGATTTGCATGTTGGACTCTGGCCCAGTGGAGCAATATAAGATGTAAATATCCATATGTGCACTACTCTAACCTGAAGGAGGTTTAGTTTTCTCTGTTTCTTAATTGCTGGTCATTTCAGAAGAAACATTCAAACTTTGTGTGGCGTGGAAGCAGTAGGGCTAGTTTGGCTGGTAGTAGGTTAGTGTATTAGTTTTTAGGCTTTGTTTTAAATGTTGTTTTTGTTTTTAAATCAGGAGCCAATGAAGTCGAGAGCACCACAGCTACATTTGGAATACAGATTCTACAAGCAGCTAGGATCTGGAGGTAAAAAGCAGTATAATGCATTTTACTGTGATGTAATCCAGGGACAATTTTTGGCTGAAGCCTTCTTGTTTAGAGGTATAAATCTATTTAATAAAGTGTTCTTTACTACTTAAAGCAGAAAAAAGCCTGAGGAGTTAGTGGATTAGTGAATAAATTCCATTATTATAACATTTTTTTTTCTCAAGTGTATCTATGAAGTGCTCACTATTTAATAAATCCCACCTATCAGAGCATTTGTCTGCATACAGGTATACTTTAAACTAAGACTATTCCCAGTACAACTCCTTGAAAAAATAGTGTAGCTCTCCAAACTGCTCATCTACTGATAACGTATTTTGAATTAAAGTTGATGTGATATTTAAATAGCTTCAGATTCAGTTTTACTTTTATTGATACAGTATATATTGTTGCTTAGTAGTTTTAAACCTCTTAAATACCTCTAGGAGAAGTTTAAATGCAGTTTAATATTTGAATTTCTCATCTCACTCCACTTGGTGCTTTTATACCCAGAAGTACTCTTATGGTAGTGGCCTGAATGATCCAATTGTCACCTTCTGTTTTTATAGGTGAGCGATACCTAAAACTTCTCACATATTTTTGTGCCTTTCACAACACTGCATATAATCAGTTAAGAAAATGTGAAATTTCTTACCCTAGTAAAGTGAGTACAGATATTCTCTAAATCAGCTGTAATTTAGGAAAAAGAAATATTTTGATATTTTTTCCTTGAAATTATTCCTAGAGTAGGTCATGTAATTAACTATTTTTCCCATTTTTTTACTAATGTAGAAGTTTATTTGATGAGTGGACTACTAACAGTGGTTTTCTGCATGTGTGTTCAGGGGCTTTTTAGCAAAGGCAGCCTGGAATTTGTAACAGTGATTTTGATTGTGCTTAAGCTAGAATAACATCCTACTTAGTATGAAACGTTGTCTCTGAAAAGAAAGACGTAAAGAAAATACCCATATCACTTTTTTTTTTTTATCTTGAATGTGTGTGTTATGATGAGTTTTAATAATTTTTAATTACTATTTTCACATTTTTCCTTAAAATTAGGGATCTTATACTCATTGCTGCACTGTCTGAATAGTGTTTCTCTGGTGGCTTTCAAAAAGTCATGGTGCTCTTTTGAAGACTACATCTGGTGGAACAAAGTTTCTAATATGGTCAATTGATGCAGACTTTTTTTGCTGCTGTACTACGAATGTTTTGCAACCAGGAATTTTTAGAGATTACTTTTGGTAAAACACAATATTGTCAATTTCTCTTCCTAGATGGACAATAAAGTTGTAGATAGGTAGTCAAAATCTTGAGTCTATATAGTTGTTGTTTGGAGAAAGTCATCACAGTATAGATGGTTTCTTGTAAGTAGTTATAAATTGTCAGCATACCGTACACTAGCATTGTGAAATAGCTGATGAGTAGAACGCTGAGATCTTAAATGTTTAACTAATGGGCATGACAGCCCACGAGTTAGGTACATTACCTGTCTGTGAATGTAGAGGTGTAACTATCTAAAATTGCAAAGGAGCTGTGTAGGGGAGGTAAGAATAAATATGTAATTTCTAATTCACACTGCAGAAATTAGGCAGTGCTTCTCAGAGGTAGGAACCCTTATAGGAGTATTTATTGGGAAAATGTCTTTAGGAGCATAAATATGTTTGCCTTGTTTAGTGAATAAGACTGGGAACTGTGTTTAATGTAAGAACATAGTCAAGTCACAGTTATCCTGCTTTACTTCACATATCATTCAATCTTCTTAACCCTATTTGCTGGTTGCAATAAATTTTATTTTTCTCTGGTGCCTTGTTGAAGTACTGAAAGGGAGAGTCACCTCTCTGATTCTTTGCATGAAGATGAGGTTACCTTTAGGGTGAAAATGCCAAGATAGAGCTGGTGACTTACTAAGCATCATCAATATTTATGAAAAACTTTGTTACAGTCCTCCTTTGTTTTTACAATGACCTGCTTTTGTTCAAAAGTGAAAGCCTCTCCCAGCACAGAACCTTGAAAGCTCCTTTGTGAGCCTTTCTCAGGCACTCCACTTGAGGCCTATTTTAATGGGTTTTATGGCAAAGGTTCTTTGTGAAGAAAGCAATTTTCTTTTTCCTATCTACATAGAAGTTTAAAAAAAGATTCCTGATTCCTTATCTTCTGGGAGCAGTCACTTTTTCTATATTTTTAGGATTTTGGCCCTCAAGCTAAGTAAGTTATACAGCTTGTGATTTTCAGAAAAAAACGTTGCAGTATTATGTAGTTTCTGTTCTGATGTAATCTGTGACAATTGGTTTTAGTTTACTGATTTTTTGGTGACATGCATGTTAACTGTCAAAAATACTTTGAAATAATTTTATCTCATGAACAGTTGAAAAGATAGTTTTGTTAAGTTGATCCAGGAAGTGATAAATTCAGGAAGTGAGTATGTAAACCTCCTATGTAAAACAGGAGATAATGGGTGAAAAAAAACTTTTGCCAGGTCTATCCATATAGACAGTATTACTTTATGGGCAGTGGTTGTTTTTTGATCAGAGAGAGATTAAAAGAAGTGGTCTTCAGTATGCAAGTTACAGAAGACTCTGTCACAGGAGATACAAAAATAGCTGCCATTGCTGGAAGAAATTTGAAGTATTGTAATTGTGAAGATAGAAGGTTTCTGTGAAACCTTCACAGTTATGCACCATACTAGAAGTTGCAATTGTCTGAAGCTTTCCATCTTTTAAGCTTCTAAAAATCTACATTTGCAGGCTTTCTTACAATGAAGTAATCTTTTCCGTAGCTGTTTTTGTTTATTTGCAGTAGTAATAAAACTTGTAGTAATTTGGCTGATAGCTTTATAACTGTGTGGACTGTGTAGTTTGCATTTAATTGTACTGAATTACACTTCCCCTTGTTCTCCTCATGTATACGTCTATGCTTCTATGTTAATAGCAAGTGACTACTAAACTATGGTTTCAGAAGCAATTGGTGAAAAGGGAACTGTACTCCCAGTCTTGTAAGCAGAGCCATTATTTTCTATAAAAACCCCATGATTTTCACAGATAAGAACTACACATTCCACAGTTTATGCTACAAATTGACTTATGCTTGGTGTGAAATAACCCGAAACTTAAAGGATAAAATTCCTTTAGGCCCTGTGAAATCCCACTTGACTTGCAGGTGGCAGGAGGAGGGAGAGGCATTAACATGTGAATGAATTCTTCTAGAAGAAAATAAGGTTGTTTTCTGACAATATCATCCTGAAAGCAAGTAAAGAAAATGTTATTCTGATTACAGATTACCTTCAAACCCTTTTTAAAAGAGCATCTTTGTACTTCCTCTAATCTTGTAGGCATCCTTGATGAAAAGAGTAGAATTTTGAAATTGTATGTTTTCTTGGTATTTCCTTATCTGCAGCCAATATTTGTCTACTAAGTCTGTTTGTTTATTTTTATGTTATTCCTTTTTCTTATCTTTCTAATGACCTTTTAGCTTGGTTTTTTTTTTTAAATGTATATTTGTATTATTAATCTCTGTGGTTAGTCATGTTGTTTTGTGTCTTGAATGTCATGAAGATGGAAGACATTCTTGACTGAAAAAAGATCAGAGGGTTCTTTTGTAGTTCTGCACACTGAGAGAAGAAGGAGAAAATAGGCATGAAATATGTTAGATGTGCAGGTTTTGTGCACAAGATTTTGTGTATAAAAAGACTTTGGAATTGAGAGTATTAATTCTTTGTATTTAATAAAAAGTGGTTTTGTCTTGCATGAGTAAGAATTAACATTTCAAAATTGCATTCCTTTGGAGAGGATCTGCTCAAAAAGAAGGCCTAACTGTAACTTTACTTTTAAATATGCTCTTTAAAATGCCTGTGAATGTGCAGTAACATGTAGGTATTTGTCAGAAAAAAAATGTGAAGAATCTTTCTTAAAGAGCAAATACTTTCAGTGCTTTTGGACTTTTTGAAATGTTTTCGTTTTTTAGGGACGTGGACTTCAAACTTATTAAAACCAACTTTTAAAATGAAAGATGCCGTTTATTTTAGTTTCATCATTATTTAGCTTTCATTTAGGTTTTATATACGAACAGAGATTTTTATGAAAATTGCTTTCTTTTTTCTGTGATAATTTTTTCGTTCAGTAGTTGCGAGGTTTTCCGCAGGGAGTTTGCAATCATCAGTCAGTATGCAGAAGTTTCTAGTCAATTGAATGAGGAGCATATGGATGGAATTTAGCATCTCTTTACTTCTAATAAATTCTGTTTAATGTGTATTTTCTTAATATGCAAATATGAGATATAAGAAAACCATACTATCATAAGTGCAGTACTCCAAAAAAAATGATTGCTGAACATGAAATTGCACTAAGGCTTTTGGAATTAATAGAAAACAGTTTTGTATTTTTTATTGGTTTTTGAATAAATCTTTTATGCTATCAGCCTTTCTTTGCATGATTAGAAGATAAGGTGTAGGTGTATTTCATGCACTATGCTGTAATTCAACTGACAGATAGGTATTTTCAGTATGGTTCAGTTTCCTTTTGCAGAAAGGAGTCTGTAAATGAAAGAAGTTATGTGTTACATGTTGAAGAGCATAAAAACGATTCGGCTTTCATTGTCTGATTTTTCTAATCTCTCTTAATAAATGGGTCATTATCATAATGACTGGGAGCTTTTGAAAGTGAATAAAAACTCTTTTGTACTTACTTACCTGACAAGTGGAGCAAAAGAACGGCAAGCAGCTTCTGCTGCTTAAAGTGAATTAGTAGAACTCCTGTTTGTAATGCTGCTGTTAGAACAGACTTAGAGCAGTTCTTGTTTATAGTAGTGAGGGGTATCTATTATTAGATTTTATTTCTTCATTTGAGGTAATTTTTGAGATCACATATCTCAAAACTGGTCTCAGATCTGTTCAGCAGTGGATTAACCTACTGGTGAAACTGCTGCGTTAATATTTCAGACAATGCAGATGCTCAGTATTATAAGTCAGGTTTTATTTTTCTTAACTTTTGTACATCTATTATTTT